CGCTCGACCCCCCCCCCAAGTATTGCCAGGCTTGGCTTCAGGGGCACTGCCGCAGCTCGGCCTTTGGAGGAAGCTTCTTCAGAGGCATTTCTCCCCGGCTGCCGCGGTCTTGCCGCCTCTCCCGGCCTCGTCCCAGCCGCAAACTTTGGGGAATAAAGGTGCAGGATCGCTCTTGTAGTTGTTAGGACAAGCCCATCAGCCGCCCACCTCCTTAGCGGTAACCCCCGTCCTTCACCCCACCTCCTCCTCCTGCCGCCCCCCCACCTCCTGTCTCCACTGCATGCTGCGTCTCAGCTGTTTATGCCCCGTGGGTCTCCCCCAGCATCACTGTCCCAGCCGCAAACTTTGGGGAATAAAGGTGCAGGATCGCTCTTGTAGTTGTTAGGACAAGCCCATCAGCCGCCCACCTCCTTAGCGGTAACCCCCGTCCTTCACCCCACCTCCTCCTCCTGCCGCCCCCCCACCTCCTGTCTCCACTGCATGCTGCGTCTCAGCTGTTTATGCCCCGTGGGTCTCCCCCAGCATCACTTCCAGCATTGCTGCAACCAATGCAGACAGCCCACCCAAAGTCCGCCTCTCTCTTTGCTTATTGGCTTGAAGGAGGCACTGATTGACAGCAGGAGGCTTGTTTGTTGATAATCAAATCCCCTTTCGCCGGGGGCTGCGCAGGTTGCTTTCTTCCTGCCTTTCTGACCCAGCTGCTGCATCAGTAAACGCCTCTCAGCAACATTTATGTAGTTTACATGTTGCTTCCTTGCTTGGTATAGCTACACTATTACATCATATTTCATTTCAAACAACTTTACTGTATAACTTTCTCTTTTCTTAAGAACATATACAAGCGTCCACACTGTAAGTCCTAGACATGTTCCAAAAAACTTGGATTTATAGTGAAGCCACTTATAATGGGGAATTTCTTCCTGCGGCTAACTTCCATTTGCGCAAGGGGGTGGGGGGAGGGGTTACACGACTTAAGAGCGGGCAATAGGAGGACTTATAGTGCATCAGTTCCTACAAAAGTGACAAGGAGTCCCGTGGCACCTTATAGACTAAGGGTATGTCTACACAGCAAAGTTAATTTGAAATAATAGCTGTTATTTTGAATTAACTTTAATAGTGTCTATACATGCAAACTGCTATTTCGAAATTAATTCGAAATAGCAGAGCACTTATTTCGAATTTGGTAAACCTCATTCTATGAGGAGTAATGCCAAATTTGAAATAGGCATTTCGAATTAAGTGTTGTGTAGACACTTAATTTGAAATAGGGGGCCTCCAGCCCTTCCCATGGAGCTCTAGTGGCCACTCTGGGCACAACCAGGGAAACTCCTCTCCTCTCCCGCAGCCCAGGGGCCCTTACAGGGGTAGAGTCTGGCTACTGGGCACATGCGAACCAGAGGCCTGCCTACAGAAAGCCAGCACTGCCAGTCCCACACCCAGTGGCCCTATCATGAACCGGGCAGCTAGTGCCAGTCCGGTGTCCCCTGCCCAGTCCCCCAGCTCCTAGGTGCCAGCCTGGGACTGTAAATGGCGCGCACCTGCCTGGACTGGTGCGGAGATCATGGACCTCATTGAGGTTTGGGGGGAGACCCCCAATGTCCATGATCTCTGCACCAGGTGGAGGAACACAGCCATCTATGGCTGCATAGCGGCCACCCTGGCCAGAAAGGGCCACAGCTGCACCCAGCAGCAGGTGTGCCTCAAAATAAAGGAGCTGTGGCAGGCGTATGCCAGGGCCACCAGGGACGGTGCCGCAGCAGGGGCTGACACCTGCCCCTACTTCCCTGCCCTCGACTGCATCCTGGGGGGCGGGACGGTCCATGCCACCCTGGGGGGCAGCAAGCCGGGACCAGAGGGCTCTGACCTGCGTGCAGCAGAGGGGCCAGCATGGAGAGTGTCATGCCAGCAGGACCCCCAAGCTGTCCCGGCACCAGAGTCAGCAGGGTCATCAGGGGAGGCCACACTAGGTAAGTGCCATCACTGTCCCCTACCCTGGGGGGGGCGATGGGAAGGGAGACCAGAGACCGTGCAGGGGGGGAGGCGGGGGGGAGACCAGAGACCACGCGCGTGGGCCATGCCTTCTACGGATCACGCAGACACCTGTGCACGTGCGAACACGTGTCGTGCAACCCTTGGGCAGGTGGCTCCAGCTGCGTGCCACACAGGGGTCATGGCCCAATAGCCACACGTGTGTGTGAAGAGACCTGACATGCTCCTGATCCCAGGGCAGGACCCAGCAGGACGCCATCCCTTCACACGCCCCCTCTACGCAGAGGCAGGGGACATCTTGCCTCCGCCTTGGTCGCACTATACATGGCACAGGGGCATACGTGCGGTCTTAGGGCAGCTCCCACTCCGAGGGAGAGCCAGACATCCCGACCATGGCCTCTGTGCAAGTACGTCGGCTTTGGTGGTGCAGGGCATGGTCGTCCTCACCTCGCAGGGGGCGTTGGGCACCATCCACTGCATCCCCAGGGAGAACTGACCACTCCCTTTCTTTCTCTACAGCCGCACCAGCTGCACATGCAGGGCGCACCACCCCGCCCGGGACATCCTCCCACACCTGAGGTCTCAGCAGATCCACCACAACATTGTAGGGTTACTGAGATCAGCAGCTGGGGGCCCTGCAAGCCCTGCACTGCACCATGGAGCAGTGGGTGCAGGACAAACGGGAATTCCGGGGGGAGCTCCTTACCCAGAGTCGTGCCATCTGTGACCATCTGCAGACCCTGGTGCAGAGAGTGCTGCCTCGTGCCGCTCCAGTGCCTGCTGCCTCCCCAGCTCCTGATCCTTCTCCTACTCCTTCCCCACCCCCCAAGTTTTTTTTTCTAGTGACTTGACTTGTCTTCTTGTAGATCTGAATCTCCTGGAGACAGATTGTGGTGTATTAAAACACCTTCACCTTTCGGAAAAGGCTTTATTTTCTGCAAGATCAGTGTCTAGACTGGCGCTTTTTTACGGCAAAGCTCCGTGCCTAAAAAAGCGGCAGCCCAGCACCCACCATGCTGGGAGACAGTTGGCCGGGCGAGACCCCCCACCCCTGAACCCTGAGCTTCCCCTTCCCCTTCTTCCCCTTCTTCCCCTTGCTTCCCCCTGCCAGCTCCCTCCTCCCAGTTTTCCCCCTCCCTTCTCCCACCTTCTCTTCTCCCCTCTCCCACCTCCTTTCCCCAGTCTCCCCAGAGTACATAACATGGTAGATTTTTGTTTGTGGCCAAAGATGTCAGTATTTACAGAGATTTTGTCTAATCTGAAGGTGATTTCCAAATATTCTTCTTCAGTCTGTGAAGATCTCCTATATCTTTTGCTCCATTTGAGTTTAAAAATATCCATTTCTTGGTGTTCAGGGCATTTGTTTTGTGTTGAACGTGTCTCTTTAATGTTTGCATTAATTTATTTATTTCAGACTGCTTATGATATAGGTGAAATAAAGAAACCCATGCAAAGCATTCCCCAGTTCTCCTCAGAGACCACTGCTCCACCCTTCAAGTTGCATCTTTTCCCAGAGAGAGACCCATTCACAAAACACACACATCAAAGAGACTCAAATTCTGAAGTCCACAGTATTTCAGAGTTTAATGAATATGTGTCTCAAATAATATATGCCGCAGACAATGATCTACGTGATCTTCCAGCAGACACTATTCATTTTTACTGCTTGGAAGGGCAGTGCTCTCTAGCAGGGAGCCTTAGTTCCTTAGACTCATCTATTGTTGATGAAGATCTAAACTATGATGACCTCCACGAGTGGGGACCAAAGTTTGACAAGCTTAAAGAACTCTATGCACTTTCAACTGAACGCTTGTAAATGGAGAGATGGGAACCCAACACATTCCTGTGAGATGAACTCTACTTAATGTTTTGTCTAAGATGCTAAAATGTTTCTAATCCACTAAATAAATAACTTATTTACTGAGTGAAGCATTTAACATGAATCACTCACCTTTCCCTTAACTGGCAGTCTGAATATAGAAACTTTTTGTATGCACTGTATAAATAGATATTTAAATTTAAAGCTTTTTAAATATGTTAATTCTCTTGAATACTTTGAAATGTAGGACTTTCATAGTATGGGCATAATTTTATGAAATTTTTTGTAGGCTGAAGTGAGTTATTACAAACATCCTGCATGCAAGTACTTCAGTTATTTTCTTCCTCATCTTAGTGTGATTCTAGCCACGTGGAAACTTACTGGTAGGGAGGT